CTATATCTAAATCATTTTAACCCACAATTAGATATGTACAGTACCATGAAGCCTTTCTCATTAATATTTCAGGGTACTGCTTCCTAAAATGGTTTGCCTGGGGGTCCAGAGATAAGTCCATGTTTCTCCAGAAAGGTTTGTGTACTTTAGGAACAGCAGTGTGTCATCTTGACACAATCGGTTTGGCTCTCAGTTATCAAAAACGTTCCGTGGCTCTAAAAACGCACCATATGGTCACAAGTAAACAGAGTTTTGGCTCACTTACCAGTCTATAATTTTCAATACCAGTACGAGTTCTTTGCATGGAACTTCCTGGATAGGACTTTCATTTAAACTGTAGCTATTGAGGACATTCACAAAAGCAGTCCTGAAGCCCTATGTCTGTTAGAGTTATGTTTGTTAGAGCTGTGGATTTCTTTTAGCTCAGATGACGATCTCTATTTAAACTGAGAGCTTGAATATGATTATCAGGAATATTTTGTCACTTTCCTGGTCAGGGAGATAAAGACAGTGCATTGGTTAAAAAAAATCACACTGGCCTAATGAACCTTTTCCTGAATGGCAGTAGCCAGAGCAAACATACCCATAGTAATGCCCTGAGAAAAAGTGATTGAGAAGGTTATTCAGGGAACAGCAGAGGCTGGCTAATTGAACTGGCAGAGTTCCAGTAGGATGGATACTGTATCCTTGAAAGGCTGGCTGCCACATTGACAAGGGCTGGCAGGCACACAGACCTGTGCCTAGCATGGTTCACGGCTTTCATCCAATCCCAGTGCTATTCAAACACTGTAGGGCGACGCTAAAGAAAGATGCTGGAGCTTTAACTTCAAAGAGTCACCCTTTTGGTTTTTTTATTCATCGTGAGGAGAAATACTCCTCAATCCCTAAATTAAAGGAGCAATTCACATCCTTTCCAATGTCCTCAGCTCTCTTTACTTTTTCCTTGTTGACAAATCCCAGTGAGTGTGGCCTGCATGATTCTCCTGAGGATTGTTTCAGTCTAGAAGATTATGAACCATTTACATGTACAGTACACTATCTTTTCCACATGGGAGTAATATTGGGAACATTGAGGTGATTAGGGGAACAGAGAACAGTATATACAGTATGTTTTGTTTAAGATAAACGGTCCATTCCCAGTACAAAAGATTCAATATGTATAATGTGTATGTTATTGTATGTACATGATATCTATAAAATGTTATATTGAAGATGTCCATATTAATCAATGTGCAATCAAACATAGGTTTTGCATACTGTATCTAGTGTATAGCTTCACTGTACAGTCTATGCTTTATTTCACAGACTTCACTATAAAGATTCGAAGGACTATTATATTTTACTACTTTTCCTATGAAGATGTAGGGTTTCATTTGCTTGTCCTTTTATTTAATCATTTTGGAGCCAGGAGGTCTCTCTGTGGGCTTGCAAAGATGCAGACAGGCAGAGGAAAGCTATAAAAATCCCATTATCACAGCCAGCATCAAAAACTCCCACTGCCCACAGACACTGGTCACAGGTAGCACAGAACGTCTGTCTGCAGGAAGTAAAACTTTTCAAGGAGCAACCCACAGGAGACAAGCTCTGCATTTGAACACGCACTTTAAAAAAATTATCAGTTTCTTACCTTATTTTTACCTCATCATCATTCTCCTTGGGCTTTAATATTTTTACCTTGCTGTCCCTGTAATGGAGAGTTTTTCTGTCACCCTTATAGGCCTGGTTTTAACTATTTGCAGTGGCGGTTGTTGAAAGGGGTTGTCTGTAAGAAAGGACCAAATGTACTGGTAAGTAAGTACATTGGATGTAACAAAGTTTAATTCAATTCAAACTTTATTACCCATCCATACCATTTTCTAGCCACTTTATCCAGTAAAGGGTCATGGGGTAGTGAGAGTCTATCCCGGCAAACAGCAGGCACAAGGTGGGATACCCTCTGGATGGGACACCAGTCCTTCACAAGGGATACACTCACTCCAGGGCCAAGTTTTCCAGAAGCCAGTTAACCTACCCTACCAGTATGTCTTTGGGCTGTGGGAGGAAACTGGAGCACCTGAAGCCAACGCACATGAACACCAAGAACATACTGTAGACACTCCACACTGATAGCACCCCAGGTCCAGACCCGACCCCAGGCCCCAGCACTGCTAACCACTGTGCCACTCAGCACTTGTCCAATGCAACACCACAACAGAAACAGACAAACATCACCAACAAAGAGCACAGGATAACACTGTTTCAGGAGGTCAGAGAGTTCCGTTCCATTGTGCATGAGTGAGATCGCAGTGGGGGGGAAAGATTTCCTGAGTTTTATTCATGATAAGCCTGGGGATACAGAGGCATCTCTCAGGTGGGAGTAGTGTCAATTCACAATGGAGGGGGGGTGAGACGTACTTTGTAGAGGGCAAAAGGTTTGTTTAGGTTTATTTGTTGTGTCCCAATTTTGGTGCTTATCCTCACAATTTCCCCAACCTACGGTAGTACAATTAATGGTACTGATGTTGCCAGACCAACACATAATACTGTACTGTATGTCAAAGTGTTTTCACTTAGTGGTCTATAAAAATAAGTGTTAAAATAGGTCTATGTATCTTAAAGTAGCTGAATTTAATTATTACAATGTGTTGGGAGCAGCACTGTTATGAGCTGTTATTTTACAATCTACTGCTCTGGAGTAGGTGGGGGGAATCACACTTATTTAACCCACAAATAAAGTGTCATGGGAGATCTCATCTGTCACAGGATCTTTGGCTGATTCACAGCACTCTGACTTGGGTTGGAGGCTCAGTATGACCTGCTGTACAGAGTGGAGTTGTCTATGTGCTTGTGTCACCAGCCATTTCTTTTTTTGTTTTTTATGACTAAAACTATAAGGTTCAAAATCACTTCTCAATTGCATGAACAAACAGCGCAGAGGAGAAAAAGTAAGGTGGATGCAATGAAGGTGGTCTTGCCAGGACATTACCCTCGGTGCTAAATAAACTGTTTTTGCTCTGTTCAGAAATCCTTAGCACCCAAGGAAGCACAATGAAAAATTATCTTCTGCGGGTCTTCCCAATCTGATACCGCTGTTTGGCATGGTGCCATCATGTGTAAGGAAGCTCCCAGAGATGAGAAGGAAAACGAAGAGGAATCCTGCAGGTGGGCACCTCCGCCCCCCCCGCCTTCAGCCCCTTCACGTTTCAACATGCCACAGGCGGTACAGAGATTGCGCACATGGCTCGCCAACAGCACTGCATGCCTGAAAGTGCCCCAGGGGCTGTGCTACTGCTGAGAGGCAAGAGAACCGCAGTGCTCTCAGCCTACTGTGGGCTGTCCCTTGGGGAATCCTGGTCCCAAAGAATTGGGTGAGCACACAAAGATAAAAATCTTTTCCACGGAACTGTATCAAAAGCTGTCTGAAATTCTAAATAGACTGTATCTTGTTCTTGGTGTGTATGCACAAGCTAGTTAAACAAGACTTACCTGATGTGTCAGTCTTGATACTTGTACTGTACTTCAATATTTATCATCATTTTACTGTTACATAAACATAAACTGTTTTTTTTTTTTGTAGCAGGGATACCGCTTCAGTGCAGGCAATGATGATCGTACGGGAAAGACTGAGGAACCAACATTCCAGCCTGGGCAAATGTATGAAATCTCAAGAGAGAAAAAATACCCTTTTATCAGCCTCGTGATATAATATTTGCCTCTAGGCATGTGGTCCCTCTGAGCCGTGGCTTGCAGGCTCAGTACTACTGGAACACAAAACTTTAGAACCCCTTTAATAGTGACATGGGGGCCAGGCACAAGTGAATTGAAGATGTTAATGAGTTTGCGCTCCCTGTGGCCTCAAACCTCATCTGTTCTGTGAGCTGTCTGTTACCACCACTGGTTGCAGTGCCAGGTTTGATCACTCTGGCCTCTGGGTGTCCAGCACATCGTCCTTCAATCCTTTAAGCCCACTGCAGTGCGGAGTGGGAGCTCTACAGTGGTCACAGGGCCAGAGACAGGAGGATAATTCAGTAGAGCATTCCTGTTATTAGTCAGAAAGAGAACTGTGCACTGGTGCATTAAAGGAAGACAGAGAAATGTCATTTCAGAACTGCTTGAAGCTGAAGCATCTCTGAAGTGGATTCTCACACCAGTGTTTATGGCAATGCTAATGCTACAAGCCATGCTATTAAATTAATCACTCATAGTTGCATCAACTTGATTCCTTGTCTTTGCTGTCCTCATGTCCTGAGGAAGGACATGCTTCAGATGGGTGACTGCCATTTGGAAAATGTATAGTTCTGGGGTAACAGGAATATGTCAAGACAGTGAATTGCAGCAGACTAAGGAGATCAACAATAGAGCAAGAAATATGACGGGTCAGAGTGGCTCTACAATCTGATCCCCTGCGTTTGTGGGCACGTGTGATAGGCTTGCTTTCGCCAGCAAACACAAAAAAGCAGCGATTGCAGATGGAAAGGCCTTTTGAATTTTTAATGCCCTGGCCTCCCTGCTTTAATTGGCTTTTGCAGTCCCCCTTCAGTCTGGCACGAGGGGAGTGTGGTACAGAAGAAGCGAGGTGGGGGGGTGGACAGAAGGCCTGGAGAGCTGTGCTGATCCTGGGCAGCAACACCCTGCTCTCTGTCACAGCCAGCTGGACAGGACCCTGCGTGAAGAGTCTGCTGTCTCAGGCACCTGCTAACTGTACCACTCATCCTACTTTCAAAGCTTCCACAAAGCCCCGCACAGCCAGATCTCTCTTTCTCTTCAAAAAACAAAATCAGGCAGAAGTAGTGGCCATGCTTTGACTCGTGCATGCCTGGAATTTGTGATGTAGGGTTTCATTCTTGCAGCGCCACCACAAAATCCCTCTTTTGTTGGCACTCAAAAAGCTACACCATAGTTTCATTACTTCTTTTGTGATAGAAGTGCTTTTTTTGCCTCCATTTTGTGATTAGTTCCTTTTTTTCTCAGCACAGATACCTAGTCCGTTTTAGACTGTCAGTGCATTTCAGCTACGCAGATTGGTGAGATGGGTGGGAAGATTTTTTAAAAGGTAGCACATACCCCCCAAAAAAGCCACATATGCAAAAGAAACAAAACTATTTCTGTACTGTGTGTTTTCTCTTCCCGTTGTTTCCCTTGAGGGCCAAGTGCGCCTATCTGATAGCACTGAATTTTAAAATAGCTTTTTCTGAAATGAAAAATGAGCTGGTATATTCATTCCTCCCTTTCTTTCATGGATGCAAGCCTAAAACGCCCAGGGATGTGCAGAGCAGAATGCTCCAGGTAAGATGGATTGAGTCTGTGTGTTGTCTTTGCACTCCACAAGCTTGCGTTTTACTGACAGGCTCTTAAGAATGAAATGCTTTCAGAGCTCCTGAAACGTCTCAATGAATTTTTTGACTACAAGGTGTTGGTAGTGATCAAAATTAAGCAGTACAAGATCTTTGATAGAATGTGGTAAGTAACGAGAAATGGTTTAAACATTCTTCTTCAGTCACCTACCTAAAAAAAAAACAGATTCTGACTCTTGGTGTATTCATACTGTATCTGATATATTTTCAAAAACTTTTATGAATAAGAAAGGCTTCCTTATTCATCAGTTTCAAGAAATGTGTTTTTCCTTCCTAGTTCAAAACATGTCATGTTGATTTTCTGCAGCACTTTTAGAGGCTCCTGCACATGCATTGATGCATATCAAGTACCTGGTGCACTGGCTAAGAGTCCGTTTGGGCCTAGTTAGTCTGGCTAAGGCATATTTCACCCTCGCTGATCTGTGGTGCAATGAGCAGCAAAACTGATCATGTTCATCCCCAAGGTTCTGCACCTTTCTGTCTGTAAAGATCTGTAAAGGTCCTTTGAGACCTGAGAACTTGCTGGTGGGGGTGACCACTGCCCTGCTGTCCAGGGAAGGGGTGATCCAATTGTGCTTTTTCTGCTTGTGGAGGGTGTGGGGGAGGTGGGATGGTGAGAAATGGGAGGAATGAGTGTTTCCCTGCTTGCGCCTGGCCAGTCACTGGAATGTCATCTGGAATGAAGCCAGCACACCCAGATATTTGATGTGTGGGTGTCAGCAGACAAAGGGGACAATACATGGAATATATAGGATTTCTATTATTGTTTTAAAAGTTTACACAGGACACAGGGGCTTATTTGGCAAACCCTTAACACCTGTCATGCTTTTTGGAAAGAAAGGAATAAAACATTATCATAAATTCAGTCTTAATGTTATTACTGGTGATGAGAACGACCTCTTAAAGATCTGTGCTTCATGGTTGATGGAAAAGGTAGGGACCTCAAATGTGTCTCTTTGAAAAACATTTTTTTTCCCCATTCAGTTACTTTAAAGACCATTGGGCATGTGACCCCCAGGATGGTTAACTGTCTGTCAGTTTGTCTGATTAGTCTTTGCTGATGGCATCTGTTTGGGCCTGCTAAAGGCTAGTCCGGGTTTCAGGCTATATACAGTAGCTCTGCCTAAGCTGGGCATTTGCATTCTATTTCAAAGGCGCACGAGCTGTACTTTGCCTTGCAAATGATTTGCTGGTGTGAAGCCACCGCCCACCTCCACTGCCTGCTTGGTTGGATCGTGCATTTTCTGTAAACAGGTGGTTCCTCTGGGAGAACAGGGGCTGGTAAATGGCCCATGAAATGAGCTCAGAAGCTGCAGTCTGCTGCGAGGGCAAATATTGATCCTCAGTTCATCCAGTGCAGAGGAATTACCCTGCCAAATTGCACCAATTCTCTTGTTTCCCTCCTGACAAACCCCCCCGCACCCTATCAGCAGATGCTGTTCAGTAATGTAAGAGAGACCTAGCTTATCAGAGAGATGCTGTACTTTACTGTAGGAGGGGCACACCTGCTGACATCAAGCTCAGTCAGTCAGAACGGCCAGCTGCTCTAAATTAGGTCACTATTTTATTTAAAGACTCAGAGTTGAGGCTGTAATCCCCTGAGTTTCTTTCTTGTACAGTGTAGCCCACATAGAAGTAAGGGAGCAGCAGTGAGGAAAAAGTTTTAACAAGCCCTGGCTTAAAAGAGGCACTTCACAAGTGAAACCTGTTTTTTTATTTTTCGTAAACGTTAAGTTTGATGAAATTATGGTGAACATGAAAAAATTCACCCATTAAACTCAGGCATGTGTTGTAGTTGCTCAAAAGCAGAACTTTTCAACAATAAGATCGCATGGCATCTGATCTTATTGTTTGCCTAGATTCTTATTTGCTCCCAGTGAAGGTATATAAGCAGGCCAATTAACCCAGTGTACCTGTAAGGGGAAACAGCCTGGTGAATCGTTTTAATGTCTTTCTGTGAGCTTTCCAGTGATTCACCTTGCATGAGTATCCTGCACCACTTGTCCAGATCAATAGAAAATACTAGACCAGTGATTAGTCCATTGTGAGGACTGGATAAACATTAACAGCATTTGAACCAGCGTTTTGTTAAGTGCTCAGCTGTTCCTGCAGGCATTCAGGTAGTGCTATACTACCAGCTGAAGTGACACAACTTTTAAATATAATATGTTAATTGTATAAAATCTGTTAGGTACATGAAGTAAATCCCAGGTTGTGGAAAAAGATATATGTTGACAATCCTATAAATTGGATAAATAATATACTTCTGTATTCTTATAAATTCATGTTGATTTGCTGTGTCCACATGTCCACTGACTTTAAAAGCAGTGAGGAGAATACCTGTGAATAACCCATATTACGCCCAGAAGTGGACAAGACCCGCTGTCAAAGTGCTATACCACAGTCACCTTCAGCTTTGCCTCAAGGGAATGAGACTGCAAGACATGGTTTTGGAGGAAGCAAGCTTCCTTCACAGATTTGCATTGGAATGGATGTGCACCAGTCTGTGTCAACATTACCATGCTAGTTCGCACACATGACTTGTATCATCTGGGCACATTAGAAAGGGCACTGTCATCAAGGAGTAAGAGATGCTCACATGTTTTCTTTCTTCCAGAGGATGAAGGGAATGGAGTTGAAGGGACAGCTTTATTGTTTTAAAGAGCTCAGATCCAACATAGGATACATGCTTTCATGACTGAAACTCGTGAGAAAGCCAAATGATGTAAAATGTCAGTTCTTTCGAATGGAAAGTGATCACAGGATTGTGCCCAATGAAATACAATTCACCTTTGCACTGAAGACGAAGTAGTAAAACTTTGTGGAATCCATGTTACACAGTGACTGTCCACTGTAGGTTTGTTTCTTCTACCCATGTTCTCCTCCCACAGTTCAAAGACATACTGATATGTTAACTGGCTTCTGGGAAAACTGGTTGTGGTGTGAGTGTGTGTGATTAGAAAATGGATGGATGGGTACTCTTAACTTGCCATTTTAAAAGCTATTTCCAGGCTTCAAGGTGCTGTTTCTTTTGAAAGAACTTGAAAACCTGCTGAGGACACACAGGCCTTCCAGGACCTGGACTGGACAGCCTTGCTGTATTGTTCTGAGAACAGAATATTTTAAATGCCTATGAACTTTTAAGTGGAAAGGTCTATTTTGCGTGAGTAAACATTCTGTCACTTGATCCCTTTGGCCCTGCATATGCATAGAATATAATTAAATGACAGAAAATGCAGCATGAGAAACAACCCCAGCAGGCTGTGGGCCGAGTCAGAGCTCTGAAGAGCTCAGCATTAATAAGCGCTTGTTACGAGAACCTTTTAAATCAGCCCGTTATGTGCTTCACCCTTATTCAGAAATTCAACTGCATGAAAAGCCTGATGAGTTTCAAAGGGTTTTTCTGAGTGACTGTTTTAGGCGGACGGCCTTCAGACGAGGGAGTGGAGTGCTCAGCTGTTTTGCTATCTGAAAAGGTGCTGAGATTGAGAGCCTTTGAAATTGGGCTCCATCGCATTCACCTTTTCCAAGCATTCAGTCCATCACTATGTTCCTCCTGTGGTCTTTTTTGAAGTCCAAGGTGGAGGAGCCAGTTTTTCTTTTTCCTTTTTGTGTGCGGTACATTTCCCACAAACCCACAAACCCATTCTGGCTCATGTCGTCTGAAATGCCAAGAACTGCTGCAGCCAGGCTTCAGCACCAGGCGGGAACCTGGGCCATGCTGTATGGCAGGTTTAATAAAAACGATAGATGTTGCCCATCCCAGGAGCTCCATTGGCATTCCCAGCTTTTTCTAATTAGTAACACCATATGGGTTTGAATCTAAAATCCATATGATTCATGTTGTACTCCAGACTAGTAGTAGCATTTGGAAGTCCCCCTATACTTTTTTTCTGATGTGTATTTAGTTGGGAGGAACAATTACTCCTTATGATAAATCAAATCTTTTTATCCAGCTGAGAATGACTGGGAGATGACATACTCACGGCACTGCAGTTTTTTTTTAGCACCACCTGTAACAGCGCAAGACATTTAAATAATGTGCTCAGGGTCAAACCCAAGCAGAGACAGTGGCACAGCCAGGATTTGAACCTGTATCCTTTTAATTAACAAGCAAACCAGCTAGCCTAACTAACTACAAGTTAGCAGCTGAAGACTTTGTGCACTATGGATTTTGTTTCCTATCACATTCTATCGAAAATATGAAGTCGTGCTAGCCTCTGCTAGGCTGGCTTCCAGAAGGAGGTGATCAAGTCTCGGCCATTCTTCTGAGCCAGCACGTCCCTGTGTACAGTACATCTGGATAGGCAGAGCATGCAGCTGCTGTGCTGAGAGGGCGTCTGCTGGAGAACATGTCTCATTTCCAGGGGAGATGACAGTGCTGAGCGAGAGCCATGAGCACAGGGTACTGTAGGTAGTCCTGACTCAGTGAGAAACAAAACACCATGAATAAGCCCATCAAGCCTTCAGCCTTCAGAGGGAGCAGAGTGTCTGATAATTTGCCTGTTTTTTCCCCCCTTCAAGCTGCAGCAGGGGATGAGTCACTGCCACAGTGCCAGAAAGGAATATGTTAATGAGGGATAGCCCACCTGGACAGAAAAAAAAGCTTGCCTGGAGAGGAGATAAAACAAGCTGCAGTGCTGAGCAATAAAATCTCTGATGTATTAATGGTGACTCCGGTGAGCAAATATGATAATTGTGATTCATCATAAATTGCTGAACACTCCCCCCCCCCAGACTGCGTGATTTTTCTTTGTATGTGGGCTGTAGCTCATAAACATTCCTGGGGTTGCTATAATACCGGCTTCATAGATCTGCACTATTGCAGCTGAAGATGACATTTTAAAGGCCACTTTTGTTAAAAACATTATTTATTGTTACTATGCCATTTTGCTGACTTAAAGAGGCAGGATTTGGGGAGTTTGTCCTCTCAAAGGTTTTATGTAGTTTTATCATGTCTCAATAGATTTAAGAAAAAAAAATATTTTTATGTCATTTGAATTGTAATTCTCTTGTGCTGGTTTTTCCACCATAGGATTCTGTTTTTTTTTCCACCGCCATTTCTGGGAGGTACCTTGTTGGAGTCAGCTTCAACAAGGCTTGGCAGCTTGTTCCAGACTTCCACAACTCTTTGTGTAAAGACGTACCTCCTGGTTTCCCTTCCTGTTTTCTTTGCTGAAGATAAGGTAAATCCAACAAGTTAATTAATTCTGTTTACCTGTATCAGGTCTCCCCATAAACCCCTCTAATTGCTTGAGATCCCACACCGTTTGAGAAGTGGACCACAACTGTAATTACAAATGTCTTAATATACAGTTAAGGGTTGGCTAACCTTGGAAGGAACAAAAAGACATCAGACACACTTCTAGAGCCTCTCACCTGTAGTCTGGTGCTAATGTAAAATGTCTTTGGAATCGATTTCAGCACTTCTGAACACACAAAAGAAAAACTGTTTTATTTTCTCTGCACCTTAATGGAGGTACAGTGCATTTAATACCAGTAACACAATATTATCATTTATTACTTTCAGCATCAGTACTTTAGTATTCGTTGTTACATTTTTAGTTAATGGACTACATTCTATATTCATTTTTCCATTCAACCATCCATTATTACAAAGCTGCTTATTGGTCATAAAGGTCACGATAACTTGGAGCAGGTCCCAGAAACACAGAGTTTGAAGCAGAATGACACCTCTGAATGGCATGCCAGTGCATCACAGTGTGCACATACACGTTTCAGTGTCATTTTAATCTATTGCCCTCAATGGAAATGTTTCTAGGTTTTCTTCTCTTGAGGAAAACAAAATGTATGGAAAAAGGGACCCAGGGAACTTTAGGGGCAGAGAAAACACAAACCTGTCTTCACACAGCAATCAGCCATTGTCAGGTCTTTTTGTAAGTCTGCAGGGCACGGTACTATCTCAAACACTTTTAATCAGCTGGCAGACTGTTTCCTGAAGGGGTTCCCATTTTGGACATTATACAAATTACATTCAAGTGTTTTTTTCATCCATAGTTCTTTTAGCGTGTAGAAATATTTGTTTTTTCTTCTTTCATCAGAAATCCATTGGTCTTAGGTGAATTTGAGATAAACATTTTACTGTAGTCCCCTGCCAAATGTAATGAGAGAGGAAAAAACTTTGTCAGTGTCAACTGGTGTTTTATCTCACCTGTAAGGCTGAGAGTAAGAAGGTTATATATTGTACAAACTGTAACACTTGAAGAGGCACCAGCACAGCTAGGATTTGAACCCGGATCCTTTTAATTAACAAGTAAACCAGCTAAAGTGTATACTTACTAAAAGTCTTAGTGCACCGTCAACGATGTAGATGCTGTCAACAAGGGAACACGGAACACTAACAAAACGATCTGCTTGAAATGTAACATATTGAAGGTTGTGTTTTTCAGAGTCCGAAAATAAGGAAATAAGGAAAGTGGAACTCAGTCACTGGGGCTTTTCTCAGAAGAAAATGAATCATTTACTAATGGCCAGTCTGTTTTTCATTTCCTGACTGCACTGCTAATTGTAAAAGGGACACAGACAGGCTAACCCTCAGAAATTTTTCACTTTATTATTTTGAACCTCAATCCATTTTTTTCTGCTGAGGTACAGTACGGTTGTTCTGCATTGCTAAGTGCTGTATGTCTGACATCCCATAAGGATTCCTGCTTTCACTGCCAGAGACATTCTCCTACAGAACATAGCTGTGGAACGGCCCACATCAAGCCATTCAGCCCTCCTAAGGAGAGCCCTCTTTCACAGTGTGGTGTTTGTGTTGTACAGCCCTGTACCTCTCTCAGTGTAACGGGGATGCAGTATTTGTCAAACCTGGTCTCCCAGACAAAGCGTGTCTTCTGTTTTTTAGTCCTAGTTCTTAATTGAAGTAGTTATTAAGATCATGTAATTGTGCGAAGAAATTCAAGGTGACACCTATCCACAGGTAACCTTCCGTGTGGCGTTTGCATGCTCTCTTTGGGTCCATGTAGGTTTTCACCAAGAGCTATAGTTTCCTCCCACAGTCCAGAAGCCAGTGGCCCAGCTTAAGTAGTTGTGAAGGGCGAGGGAAATCACACCAGTGAAAGTCCTTTTTAAAACGAAACTGGCACGGTAGAGCTCTTTATTCGTCTTTTTCCTACCGTGGCTTGTCAGGTGTCTCCCATTTCTTGGTGTTTTAAAGTCGTCAGCACCTCAGCCACTTTCTAAGGCAGCTTTTCCCTTTTCGGCTCATAAGTCTCCCTCCGTCTTCTTGGAAAAGTTCACTTCTCCTGCCTCTCCTGCAGAGCCCTGATGGGCCTCTAGCTTGCAGTTCAGCTTCCACACCTCTGCTCAGGAGAGCCCATGTTTTTACAGGGAAGATCGCAGCTGCTGTCATGTCATGGCAGATGTCCCCTGTAACAAGTATTTCTTCCACTGTGCTTTATGTTAGACTCACAGGTGTGAATGTTCCCCCTGGTTGCTTTGATTTCTTCTTAGAGTGTTTGTTTATTGTCATATGTACCCAAGTACAACGAAATGCTTACTTGTGTGTTTTCCTCACATGACAGATGACATAGCAGATGACATAAAATATAACATGACATCACAAATGACATCACAATTGTACAATGTATCACAATGTACTTTTTAATACAGATAGCTTCCACGAGAGGGATGTCAATACTTGTGATAACGCTCACATTTGTGACTAGAAGAATAAGGATTATTATCATAATCATCATGTAAACTCTTTTATACCCCCAATAGAGGATTTTGTTTACCAGGGGTTAAATACAGTAAAAATGAAAAGATACACTAAAAGTATTATAAGATTGTTTCCATAGTTACCCACAGTTCAGTGCAATGAAATGAATTAAAAGGAGACTCTGTAAAATGATTAGAACATCTGATTGTATTATAAAAATAAATCAAACACTTGAAACATAGACAAGACTCAGACTTTGACTTAGGAATCAATATTATGTTGTGTCTAAATTCTGCTCCTGTAATGAACTTTTATACTATTTAACAATGCCTGAAATATAATAAAATCACCATGAAACATAAGATGTATATATTCCAATAAAGAATGAATGTGGTTTAGATTTGTTTGATTGAAAGAAGGAATGTCTTAGTAAAACACATTCCCTTGACTTTACTGATAGAAAATGACTTATCTCACCACAAAGGAAGATACAGCTAAATACAGCTGCCACCTCACAGGTACACCTCATGACAGCATGCCATTTGCAAAAATCCAATTAAAAATAATCAAACAAATGAATGAGGATTTATTAATAAACTCTTATAATCATAGCAGGGGATCTGTATTAACATAAGTACCATCTTGTTAGTCTTGGGAAATGATTAACTCATTACTTCTAAAGAAATGAAACAACTGCAGCACCTTCTGCTAAATGAAGTACTTCACTAATTGTCTTTTGGGAGACTCTGATATGATCTCAGCTTACTGCTCTACTCATGAAAAGAACCCAATTTTCCTGTCTGTCCTGATCCCAGCATGGATGCCTGTAGTGATCTCTGCCACATCAAATCGATCGGATGTCCGTGCTCTGTCTTGCACTTGTTGTTTTACTCTTTGTGACAATACCAAGTGACAAGGGAGAGGTATTGATGAGTTGAGAAAGTGGATGATCAGGAAAACACAGCCAGGGTACTCCCTGACAATCTGTGCTCCATGGCTTGTGGATTAATAATTCTCTAACAAGATGAGCTTTAATCACCAGAGTGAAGGCAGATCTTAATTACTGATCGGTGCTCACAAACAAGTTATAGTTTTACTCATCTGGCTCCATGACTGTGTGTGTGTGTCTAAGCTAAGCTAGCTATGACTCACCTCTTACTAACTCTTCTTCCAAAAGGTAAGACAAGGTCATGGTGAATTAATGATGGTAGTAATGAGGATGATGCCATGCATTTTAAATGACCAGGGGTCTGTGCAAACAAACAGAGCTCAGAAATGACCAAATTGTATTATTTCCCTAATTAACTGCATTACATTGTAATTGTATCAAGGAAGTTGTAATTTAAAGAGGCCTGTACATCCTGCTTCACTGTGGCCTTCACAGAGATTCGCAGTTCCTGATCAAAGTGCTATACGTTTCAACAAGCACAGGATACTTTTAAAATCTGGGTTCTGTATCACAGAACATCACTTTTCTTTATTTTTGTAACTGTGGAGCTTAACAAAAAGCAGAATAAGAGTGGATTTTAAATCAAACATGGCTTAGGAGACTTCATTTAGAATTCCACCAAGGTACTGTAAACAACAATTCAAGAACTGCCTGAGAAATAGTCTTTAGTTCCAGAAGAGAGCTCTGTTTCACATGTCACGTAGTGTGCAGATAAAGCCTTGTACCTGCCCAATCCTAGACAGGCCCCAGGAAATTAATGAGGCCTCAGTCTGCAGGAGCCTTTCTGGGGCAGTAAGTAGGCCTGCGTTTTGTAGAGATGTCTGCGAATTGCATGGAAACAGGGACCAAAACAAATCCACTCTTTTGCCTCTGAGAGGCCCAGTCTTAATCCACGTTGATTTCTCACAAAATACTGACAAGCAACTGCAGCAGATTTGTTTCAATAAGGAATCATTTAAACCCACAGCGTTTACCCCTCCTGCTGAATGTCTTGCTTGTGTCATGCACCATTTACAGCTTTCCTGTGTTCCTTGGTTATTTCCTTAGGTGTTTTGATTTAAGGGGAAAGAAGGCTTTGGAGTCGCCAACAGATACAGTATCTGACCACTATCGCTGCATTTGTCTTCCTTCTGTATGTCTCCCAGGAGCCAGGCCGAGACATCTCTGCAGAGGTACTGTAGCTTAGTCTGGTATAGGCAGTAGCAGGAGCGACGTCAATGAATGACAGATCACAGAATATGGAGTCCTGCTTTCGCTTTGTGAAATGTATTGGGATCTCAGTAATCATTCACTAGCTCTTCAGCACAGACAGCACTGTGAAAGGGTCTGAATTTTAATTTCATGTTTGATTGGATTCACTGTTTTTCACGGAAATCCTAATGTTCACCCTTCTGCCATCTTCATGCATTTTTGCAGCGCCTCACAAGCATCCACTTGGTTGTCTTGTTCCATTAAGACTTTACCCTTTGCTTACAGAGTATTATTTACCTGCCCTCCTATGTCCTGACGATGTCACTAACCAAGGAAACAGCGTCTGTCTGCTCAAGCAAATGGCTGACATATTGTACAAGCACATTTGACCTCATAGCCTTGCCAGAACAAAACCAAAACTAAAAAAGAACCAGCCAGTGCATTTACTACAGTGTCAGTTTCAGGATTACTTCTTTTTTTTTAAAGAAAGAAGACCTATAAGGAAACGCAAGGTCTCTGCCTCTGCTCCTGTTGCTATTTATGCGTTACTACAGAGCACACAGCAAAGGGCAATGTTCGTTTCCTTCCTCTTTGCTTTGAGCACAGACTCTTGCTGTTGTGAGCTGTGGCCCAGCCATGCCCTCCACGTGGCTCTCCAATGCTTCACCCGGAAATACAGCTGAGATAAAACAAGCTCACAGAGGCTAGAATTACACACTTAAAAGCAAATGCAGAGCACAAAGCCCCTCCAACCTTTGGTGAAATAATTTTTGGAACTGAGGTGCCCCCCACTGTAGGTGTTATTGGCCTTTAATTCCTTTGAATAATGTATTCTAAAATGTCTTCTAAAACTGCCCCTGCCTTCTTTAAGGGACTGAAAGTGCATGTTTAAAAAGGAAGTAGAACAATGAGTCTCTCTGAATAAATAAATATGCGTTTGTGGAGTTCAGCTGGAGGTGAATAACACCTAATAAATTTCTATTCTAACTCTATGTGTACATAATGTTAGTTGACACAATTTAGAATCAGAACAGTAATCCAACCCAATTTGCTTTCCCTTGTTGTACTGTGTGTAAACCTTTGTAAGGCTCCCTGCACAGCAGAACGATTCACATTAGCAGCTTCCCCCCTCAAGTTTCATGTAAATCTCTGAACAGCTTAAGATGCAACAATTGCACGTATATTTCACCTTTTAATACCTGTCAGATGATCAGGTGTTAAGTGGAACCTTATGCATCTGTAGGGCAGAGGTAAGGAAACTGCATCAACAGTATGATTTCTGTCACTGCTGGCAGCCTGACCTTTTGCAACATTAATCCCAGATTGAAAATTCCTTCACCATGATGAGATCTGTCTACGGCATCTAATGACAGGCTGTACTGGAGGAAAGAAGTGTGGCAGAGACACCACTGGGCACCACCATTGTAACATTTATTAAAAAGCGAAGATTACTGGGCCTTACGTAGTTGCCTAGATGCATATTAAATCAGGTTTCTTGATGGTTGACAAAATAGTCAGTTTCAGCAGCATAGCGGTATAATTCCATAGATGTAGATGACTCTTACCTTTGTTCAGACCTCTTCTACTTTTAACCCAAATTGCAATGATTCATTGGATAGTTTAACATCTTGTTTCTAATTACTACACCTTTCTTGAGTATGGACACAATG